GCAGAGTTGAAGTCCTCCGAAGCAGCTGGAAAAGGTATGTGTGGGTCGGGGAGGGAGAGGAATTCAAACTTTATCCTCCTGGTGCTGTGCGGGGCTTTGGGCAAAGGCTGGAAGGAAGGAGCCTGGCTTGCTTGGGCTCTCCCTCCCCAAGTGTAGTTTGATTGCAGGCAGAGCCACGTTGCCTTTTCAAAGCTGTGCTGGGCTGGATCCTTCCAGGACTGGGGGAAGGTGTGTGTGCTACAGCATGGCTCTTTGCCTGGCTTCCTGCCTTCTCCTGTTGTCTCCTCGTTGGTGCTCTCCCTCCCCAAGTGTAGTGATTTCTTCCCCAGGCCCCCATCCATTTCTCTCTCACACACACACACAGCTGGATAAAACTATATAAAGAAAGTTTATATGAAGCCCAGCTTCACTGATTACAAGTTTGAAAAGGCAACATGGCTCCGCCTGCAATCAAATTACACTTGGGGAGAGAGAGCACAAGCAAACACTGAGAAGACCACAGGAGGAGGCAGGAAGCCAGGCAAAGAGCCTTGCTGTAGCACACACACTTTCCTCCAGCCTCTTTCTTTTGGAAGGCTCGGATCAGCTCCCCTCCGGCTTCTCTGTCTCTCCTCTCACCCCAGCCTGCCAGCAGGAGGTGAGTGGGTGGGCTTTATTGCGTTCCAGGCATTTCCCACCCAGACAGCAGGCTGCATTTGCAATGGTGGAGGTGTTTGGGGAAGGCAGCAGGGGAATGAGGGGGATAGCAGAGGAGCTGCTTTCAAGCCACTGGAAAAGATATCCAATCCAACGTATGTTTGTGTGTGTGTGTGTGTGTGTGTGTGTGTGTGTGTGTGTGTGTGTGTGTGTGTGTGTGTGTGTTTGAGAGACGGGGAAGGGAGGGAGAGAGGGAGGAAGGAGGGGAAGGGAGAAGAAAAAGAAAAGAAAAGGAAAAAAGGAAACTTCTTTCGCAAAGGAGAAAAACAAATGCTGTCGCTTTAAATTTGAACTGAGCATGCCGGCTGTGGAATTCTGGGAGTTGAAATCCACAAATCTAAAAAAATTTGAAACCCACCACTGTGTCAGTGCCTCACCAGCCATAAACCTCACCGCACATCACTGCTTTCTATACAGAGTCCTCTTATCTTACCTCCCATTCTCTGACTATTTTCTTTAGCACTGTACTGTATTACATGGGAAAGAAGTTGACTATTCTAGATATAGTTTCAAAATAAGTGAGAGGAAACTCGAATAAATTTTGGTGGGTGTTTAACGCAGTTTACTGTCCGTATTTCTTCTGTGTCTAGGTTTATAACCAGCAAAGTGGATGAATAATGGCTTCAGACACAACTGAGGTGGAAAGGAAAGAGAAAAACGTTTTTGTAGTATCATGTCTTTTTTGTTCACAGATTTCAGATTCGTGTCCATCACGCTGACACTTTTCTGACTTTCAGAATAATCTTTATATTAATTTCTGTACATGTCATAATTTTTTCCCTAAGAGAAAGCACACTGTATATTGCAACTGAATGAATGAGTCAATGAAATGTATTCCTTCATCATTCTGACACATCCATCTATTCGATAGGTATTTCTGCTGTGTTCTCAAAACCAAGAGTATTTGAATAAGCTATTTTTTCTGTCAACCAAATTATATATCAACCAAATTATTCATGTTCACAGAATGAACAACCCACAGTCTAGAGGTGGTATTCAGCAGGTTCTGACCAGTTCTGGAGAACCGGTAGCGAAAATTTTAGTTTGGAGAACTGGTAAATACCACCTCTGACTGGCCCCGCCCCCATCTATTCCCTGCCTCCCAAGTCCCAGCTGATCGGGAGGGAATGGGGATTTTGCAGTAACNAGTAGGAGCCATCTTAAGGCACAACAGGCTTTATCTTAACAGAACACCCCCGAGGGTGTTAGGGTTGTCTTATCCCCACAGTATTTATTTCCAGAGAGTAAGTTATCTGTGTAACACACACACACACACACACACACACACACACACACACAGAGAGAGAGAGAGAGAGAGAGATGGATTTATGCTGGTCTATTGAATATTTTGGATTTCAAGGATCAAAATTAATTGATTGAAGTGAAAATTGCACAGAACAATGCTTCTCTAAGTATTTTTGTCCAGGCTGGGAGCAGTTCCATTTTCATGTAATACCAGGAACATCCTGCTTAGATAATATATGTTTTACATTTATCTTCTGCTTTTCTTAATCTGTTTTCTAGTTATTTGCTATTACACTGGTGGTGGTGGGGGAAACCCCTCATCTCTATCATAGTTCTGTTTTGCTCTTTAAGCAATGAAGGAACCATTCCTGGAGTTTGAAGATAAAGTATGTTCGCATCACCATAACGCAGTGGTGTTCCCCAGCATCTCTTAAAGTTATTAATTATTTTAACAGTGGTATATGTAGGCAAGTTGCTACGTTAGATCTTACCTTGATGAATGTTGTGAGCAGGATGAATTCTTGAAGCAACGGAGTCAAATTGGCAAGATATCCTCGTTAGAAACCATAGACTGAGAAATGGCTGTCTCCTATTCCATTATCATTAGGTGCCCTGCAACTACACTTGCAATTATAGAAAGCTCTATATGTGATCTGATGTTGGAAAGATCACTCCATGGAGATGCAAAAGCTTATTAAGAAAATAAGTGGCAACTTGAAATTAAACTTGAATAGCTAACTTTTTTTTTTCTTACAGCGTTTTTCATTAGCTTTTATACAATTTCCTTTTTTGGGGAGAGGGACACATTCTGCCTTTTCCGAGGACAGATATACATGGTTTATCTAGATATTTGAGAGATTGTGGAAAGCTTTGGGTACACACATCAATTCCGGTTCTAAACAAATGATTGTGGTGTCCACACTGCTTATGTACAAATAAACCAAATCCAAAGGGATGTTGTAATCTGGTGTAGTTTTTATTAGGCTATTATTTTTCTCTAGCAGTTCCTTCTTGCCTTTAGCAAATTGGCCATTAAGTTGATTTGGCTGGTGCTTTTAAAAAGACAGTCCTCTAAAAGAGAGCAAAAGCTGCCCATCCATTACCATTGGCCTAGATATCGGGTTCATGTTCTGGACGTAATTGCTCCATTGGAGGATTGACAGGTCAATTCAGAATGAAACAGAACATAAACTGAAATACATTGCTCTGAATTCCTGCAAAATCAGCCCCATCTCTTGATTAGGGCAGCAAATACCTGTGGATTCCTCTGAAGTAAACCACGGCCTTGATTGCAATCCTTCCAAATTTTGATAGCTGATAGATAGAGCAATCAATTGGAAAAGAGATGGAAGGTCCTTTAATCCAACCCCCTGCTTAGGAAGGAAACCCTACACCACTACAGACAAATGGTTATCCAACATCTTCTTAAAAACTTCCATTGTTGGATCATTCATAACTTCTGGAGGCAAGCTGTTCCACTGGTTAATTGTTCTAACTGTCAGGAATTTTTTTCCTTAGTTCTAAGTTGCTTCTCTCCTTGACTATACTAAATGTATATTAACTTTAGTGTCCAAAACTAAATGTATGTGTTAAGAAACAATACAGTTGATGTACTGGTTATAAATGATAGACTTGACTGTTCAATGACTGTAAAACCAGCATATGAGTCTCAAAAGACAGATAAGGAGATACTGTTGGGCACAACTCAGCTCAGCAAGTCAATTTTTGTGTTTATCTTATGCCCTTCCTTCAGAAACCTTAAAATGACATACAGCACCACAATGGCAGGAAATGAGTGTGTCGCCTATTGCTGGATTGCAATGAAATCCTATTTTTCTGTAGAATTTTATTGGATTCTATAGAAGTATACTTCTACAACTCAAAATAGTAATTTTATGGCTATAGAAGATGGCAAAATAGCTATCCCCAATTTGTTTCCTCCAGAAATCCTGGACTTAACACCCTGTGTTATCTTCCAGCAAGCTGGAGTTTTGTAGTTGAATGTGTCTGAAAGATTGGAAGGGCTGTTTTCTACATTTCAGTTCAGGTTCTACAATCTCTTGTGTGTGTGTGTGTGTGTGTGTGTGTGTGTGTGTGTGTGTGTGTGTGTATGTATGTATGTATGTATGTATGTATGTATGTATTTGTGCTGATAAATAAATAAAGGGAGACTAGTATAGATCTATTTCAAGCTATTTAGTTCTCATCAGCTATCCATACCCTTACTGGGATTTGAACCTGGGCTATATTACATACTAGGCAGACATCTTAGCCATTAGGCCACAGGCTCTTATCAGTTATCAGCGAAGCCAGGGTGAAAGGTATCNAAGGAAGGAAGGAAGGAAGGAAGGAAGGAAGGAAGGAAGGAAGGAAGGAAGGAAGGAAGGAAGGTGGTTTTTTTGTTTTTCTTTTATCAATGCAAAATATACAGTATGTATTTATCTCCAGATATAAAAAGTTTATAGAGGTATTATTTGTTTGACTGCTTTGTTTAATAATTGGTTGCATTTTTCAAATGTTTTTTTTTATTTTATCAATTAACTTAACCACAAAGAGAGAGAAAAAACCTTGGATCTCAATGGTTGAATATAAATTAATACCGCCCTCTTTCTCTTTTCTCCCTCTAATGTCTGTGTGCATTATTGCATTTAGAAACTGTGCTTGTGTCTTTTTATACTAAAGAACAATCACATGTTGTGTTTATATATAGATGGGTTAATAGCAGATCGCTTTCTAAAAAATATCTACATTTCCAGAGAGTTAATTAAAATCAATAGCATAAAAACTTGCAAAGTATTAGAAATTGCTCATTATGCTAGATATTGAACCAGGTTTCTTGATAAATAGCAGAAATCTATTTAAGAGGATCCTCTTACTAAGTATCATGGAATAGTATATTTTCATCTATAGATGTTAATTATGGACTTCAACCTAGAATTTGAAGATTCTCTTCCTAGGCTGATATCAATGATGCTGTTTTATATGAGCATGTTCCTTAACAATAAGGGATTTTCTTCTACAATTAAAATTCTTACCATTCTACCCTTCTTGCTCCACAGGGGGAGAAGTTCCCTATACTACACTGGCAACTCGAATGATGATGGGTGCCTGGTGGCTGTTTGCCTTGATCGTCATTTCATCCTACACTGCAAATCTAGCGGCTTTTCTCACCATCACTCGCATTGAGAACTCCATCCAGTAAGTTTGCATAAGCGTGGGAGTAAGAGGCAAGCAAGAGTTGGAAAACCTCTTGGGCCAAAATCCAAGCCTACCCAACCAGAACCAGTGTAGAAGTAGGAGATAACCAGGCTGAGCCCAAGGGAGGGTTCGAGCACGTCATCAGCCTTGAGTCCCCTCAGGCCCACAAGAGATCTAAGTCCAACCCATCTTGAATTCTATTGACTCTTAGGCCACCAATTTGCTTTGAGCATTAGTATTTCAGGTTCTTACAGAGAAGTGATGTCAAACTTTTTCAGCACTGAGTGCTGAAAAGGGAGTGTGTGCATGGGCGCGCACTCATCGGGGATGCATCCCGGAAGAGAAACTGTCTAGTGGTGCATGCGCGTGCTGGGAAATGAACTTCCGGTTTCCAGCACATGCATGCTTGTTTTCCGGTCATGCACACATGACAATCAGCAGGCATGAACACAGCTCTTCCAGTTTCCGGCACTGCCGCATATGCAAAAAACAGGTGATCGGCATATGCACGGCAGAAACCCGGAAGAGGAACAGGTGCCACTCCACATGCCAGCTGACATGGCTCCTCGTTCTACTTCAGGCACGCATCTCCATCACGGTTATAGAGAGTGCTAGCATGCAGTAAACCTGTTAGTTATTTGAACTGCCTTAGAGTAACATTCCATCTCTCTTGCCTTGTGTTCCCATCCCTATACTTTTTAAAATAAGACTAATCATAATGAAACACACAGACACACACACAAATAAGTCTGGCAAGTAAGTAGGGCTGATGGCTGCCTGCACCCATCATTTCAGAATAATGGAATAACAGCATAACAGATCTGGAGGTCTTCTAGTCCAACCCTTTGCTCAGGCAGGAAACTCATTTCAAATGGTTGTCCAATCTCTTCTTAAAGATCTCCTGTGCTGGAGATCCCACAACCTCTGGAGGCAGGTCGTTTCACTGATTCATTGTTCTAACTGTCAGAAAAATGTCAAATAGTTCCATCTGGTGTGACACTAGAAGATATTCTCAGATACAGCATTTCAACTTCCAAGGTTCTAAATAGTGCCTTGAGAAATGATTAGGTTATGAGATAGATTAACAGTGATTACAGCAGTAATGCTGGTAACAACACTAGAATCCTTGTTGGGTTTTGTTTTGCTTTGTCTCTTCTCTTTATTTTTTTTCTTCCCTGTTTTAATAACAGAGGAAAAGGGAAACAGACCCTCAGCATGGCTGGTTGTCTCACCTTATCTGCTGGGAGGTGAAAGGTTTTCTGGCTCTCACAGTTTTACTACTTTTGACCGCTGTTTTACTGTCTGTGTGGGAGGGAACTGTCCTCTTCTCCTAAAGGCAGCTCCATTTATTCTGAATCCACTGCCAAGGTCTCTGCCAGGGGACAGGAGAGGAATGACTTCTCCCCTAAAATTGCAGTGATTCCCTGTATAGAAAGTGTACCTAGGCATTTTTTCTCTACTGTGCCTTTTTTTGTGAAAAGTATGTCCTGCATTGTTATTATTGATCTTCGCAGACCTTGGCAAACCTACAAGCCAGAGAATATAAGAATTCAAGATGGTCTGGATGAGCATTTGTCAGCATGGGCAACTTTAAGAGGTGTGGATCAGGCATGAAATGCTCCAATCTTCCCTACTGGTTCGGAACTGGGAGCATCCACAGTTGTACACTCGCTTCGCTTGTCCATGGCCCTTTTGCACATGCTCAGAATGTCCCTGATGATGTCTGGGCAGGTGGGCAAAGCCTCCCACTGCCGCCACTACCGGTTTGCCCGAACCGGGGTAAACTGGCAGAATACCACCTCTGGTGTGGATGTCCACCCTCAGTCTTCCCTAGCCAACATGGTTGGCCAGTGAATTCTGGGAATTGAAGTCCACACTTCTTAAAGTTGCTAAGATTGATAAATACTGGTCTAGGTGTAACCATACTCCTTCTTCCTATAAAATAAAGATTCCTCTCCCTTCAACCTCTTAAACAAGGGCCTCTTGTGTTAGGACCAGTGGTGGGTTCCTACCAGTTTGGACCAGTTTGGTTTGGTGGCCTGGGTCACTGGAACCAGCAGTGACCCAGGCCTGCAACACCCCCAAACTGGTTCTCCAAGTGGCGCCGTAGGAGCCGCCATCTTGTTTTTTGCTTCTGCGCACGCGCAGAACAATTTTTACTGCACTGTGTATGCCCACACAGCATGCATCAAGGCACGCATCGCATGGCCATGAGCAAACTGGCAGTATTGACTGCCGGAACCCACCCCTGGTTAGGACATTTGTTGGAAGTTAGCAAGACCATGTTCAAGACCCGAGTGTTGCTGTGGGGTGGGGTGAGCCCACGTCCTTTGCTCTAGCTCCTGCCAGGGACATAAAAGGGGCCTCCAACTGAGTGTCCCCTGGGTAATGGTCATGTCACCGACTAATCTTTTCAACCTGGAAGTGCCTGGGTACTTTGGATATGAGTGCAAAACTCCCTAATAAATGCATTCTGTTTCCTTATGCCACAGTTCTCATTAGACTGAATATCTTTGGAAAGCCAAATAGCCATTTAGGCAATGGCTATTTATCATGTGATCTTTGGCTCTGACACTTGAAACTGAATTCCAATAAATTTATTATTTTCTCCAAAAGGAAAATGAACTGTTCTTTCTACTGTTAATTGATTCGTCCAGATAGCTAAACCACCCAGCCAGCATTCAAATTTGCAAGCCACCCAAACAAGGCAGAATGTAATCCTTTTTGTGTCCTGTTTGTTCCGTCTGTATTAGAATTAATTCTCATAACCATATAACTATAGGAAGAAAAGAGAAGGAGAATAAAATTGCTTAGACAAAGCTTTCTATGAATAAATGAATGCGTCATAAAGAAACGTGCTTTAGAATAAGCAATTAGACGTTCATCCTCATTATTGGATGACTAATTATCTCCGGGCAGACAGTTTCCATGTTATAAGACAAACTTGTTCATTCTGCAGGCATGCTGTTGTTTTCTATATGCCATTGTAATACGTAAACTTTAATGCCCTCTTTCTTTTGGGGTGAATTGTTTCAGTCTATGTGAAACAATGCTTTTGCAATCTGATGAGAACTATATTGTGCAATTACAAATTGTCAGGAGCTAAATTAGTTCGTACGTTTTTGTTCTTGTTTTGTTGTGCTCTTATTAAAATGAAAGGCTCCTGAGTTTATAATACCCAGCATCCCAATCTTACGAGCCATTTCACTTGCAAGGCTCAGATCACGGTTGCTTAAGCAACATCCCTAAAATATGAAATAAGCAAATGGAAATAAATCAAGTTGAGCTGACACCATTAAGATTCCAGCAGTTCCTTAAGACATGCAAGACCACAGATTTTAGCCATGTTAATCGGGACATGGTGGCTCAACGGCTAAGACGCTGAGCTTGTCGATCAGAAAAGTCAGCAGTTTGGCGGGTCAAATCCCTAGCGCCGCATAATGGAGTGAGCTCCCGTTACTTGCCAATTACCTCCCATAGACCCATTAGATCGCACAGGGTCGGCCTCCTCCGGGTTCCGTCTACC